CCTACACCTCCCTAAGTACGGAGCCCCAAAGACTTCCGGACAGCCCCGACGTCCGCTAGCGCACTCCCACCTCTGCTGGGCAATACACTCGCCTGCCCTGCAGAGCCCACCTTCGGGCCTATCCCTCCTTTCCGTTTCTGGGTTATCGCCTGCCTTTCCGCTAACCCCGTGACCCGACTCGTCGGTAATATTCAGTCGGCTAATGTTTAACCCCGTTAGCTCCGCTCCGTTTGGCTCCGCCAATTGCGGACCCGTCTTCGCTGTAACCATATATATATCCAACTTGTACATAGGTTACACTTCAGTAATAAAATCAACTAGAGTTACCCCCCCTTCGGTTCTGATTGCCAGTCAGTAAGTTAGGGCACGGACGTGTCACTAGGCACAGCGCTCTTGGCATAAGTCACTGAGGCCAAGCCCTCCGCTATGGAGACTCTCCCTCGTCTCGAATCTGGTCTCTGACATACGCCCAGCATGCGTGCCTGCAGTGGACCCCTTTGGGATCTCCCATGGGAATACCCGGTGGCTGGGGCTGTGCATGGGGACGACGTGGCAACTCTCATGTGGCCTGAGCACCATGTATATAAACATACCTGGGGTGGGAACCAGAGAAGCAGTCTTTTCTCACCATTCCCACTTCAGGGACATCTGTCTGCACCGGACCCATTACCATACGCGCCCGCTTCACACCCCACCGGGCCCTCAGCGCCGGGCGATATACCCGGACGCTCTCGACCCCGGACTGGTCCCTGACATGAGGTCCCTGCGCACGGGACTCGGTGGGATGAATAGCAGCTGTGCATAGCGGCGATCCTGTTGTGGGGTGAGCATCCCCGACCACTTAGTCTGAAGTGGGAAGTTGAGATTATCATTAAAGGGGAAAGCTACGGTACTTACCTGAAGTGGGAAGTTGAGAAGAAGGCTGCTTCTTCTGTTCCCACCCCAGGCACTATTATATACATGTGGCTAGGGTCACGTGGAGGAAGCCACATCATCTCCGCACACAGCCGCACCTCCCTGGGTGTCTCCACAGGAGATCCCGGAGGTGGCCGCTCGGTAGGCCGGGAGTGTGCACAGCGCGTGTGGCGATCAGGGGGGCAGGGTTAGGTGTGTGGTGGTACATGGAGAAAGGGAAGTCGACCGTAGAATAGAAATAGAAATAGAAATAGAAATAGAAATAGAGAGAAGGGGGAGAGTGGGGGAGTGATAGCAGGGTAGTGCAGTATGGCACGGGGTGCGGCACGGGGTCAGGTGGGTGTGCCCTGACAAAAGAGAACCTGGCTACGCTCATCCTGGAACTCTGTGTGACGCATGCTCATGTAGAGCCCGCATTCGGCCTTGAACCGATCCAGGTCCTCTTGGGATCCAGAGAAGGGGGTGGGGGCGGCTACCTTGGGTGGCTTGGGGGCTGGGGCATGGTGTGGGGGCTGGGGGGCTGGGGCCGCAGTTGGGGGTTGAGTCTGAGCAGTCAGCTGGCTCTGTAGGTCTCGGAGCTGGCGTGTCAGCTCCACTATCTGTTCTTCCAAGGACATTGGGACAGCGAGTACAGATAGGTTTAACCCTTCTTCTGCTGTCAGGGTCCGTCCCTCGTCCAGAGGGGATGTAGCGATGAGGCCCGGGAGTGGCACTGGAGAGTCTTCTCCAGCCACTAATTCCTCAAAGTTGCTGAGGGGACTTGCCCTGGCCTTCACAGGGAATGAGTTGAGAAGAAGGGTAACCTTCTCAACCCCCTGTGAGGCTGCTACAAAAGGAGCCTGAGAACTGTGCAGTTGTCAGGTCTTTCCTGGGTTTCCATATTAGGTACCGTGGGAAGATTCTGGGCAAGCTGCTCACCCAGAACGTTCCCACAGGTTTGCATACCTGTACTATTGCAGAACAGTGGAGGAAAAATGGGGAAAAATGGGGGAAGGGTGGTTAGGAGGGGGAAGGGGTGTCTGAGGGTGTGTGGGGTCGAGGGCTGTGCCCTGACAATTTGGGGATGGCCGAAAATGAAAAGGAAAATTGGCTACACACATTTGGAGTCTTGGACACCTGGCACAAATCTGGCAAATTTTAGACAAATCTATGGGGGCCTGAAAGCGAGTTCCATATGGACCAAAAATCCCATTACTTGGTTGGTGGTACATAATAGGAGGGCTAAAGCGGGAGCTCAGTCTCCATTAATGAAGAACTGAATTACTACAGTTAATACTAACCTAAAGCAGGAGCTATAGTACAGAAGAGTACTGTTAGAACGGGTGGATTCAGACGACTCTGGAGTGAAATCGGAGACTGTCAGGGGATGCATGTGCTCACGCAAGATGCTCCGATAACCTAGTTGTGATTAAAGCTGGGGGAAAGGGATGTCCCCATCTTAGGGTCAGCTATATACATGTAGAGTCCAGCAATAAGGAAACCAAATGGATTGCCGATAGAATCATGTGATCACAGAATGTTCCAGAACAATGCCGGAGATGATCCAGGTCACCGGGGCTTAGGTAAGCAGAGTAGACGGGAATTACCGGCATACTTCCCATGCACATACACGCAGCTGGCATAGGGTCCAGGGTCATTGCTGACCCCTGACAGAGACTTAGTGTGGAAGGACCTCGGCCTCAGCGACTCAGGCGGAGCGCTGTGCCATTGCTGGTTGTCCTAGGGGTCCCTAATTTCGGATCTAGCAGAGGGAAAGTCTCTTGGGGGCTGTCAGGGCACACACCCTGACTAGCCCGGACCCGGACCCGTGTCTGGACCCGCTTCCACCCGCCGCATGCTCCAGGCCTGGTTCCTACCCCTTCATGTGACTTCCGGGTATCCCCGGAAGTTTTGCTGATATTGTGGCCACTGTGGGAAGATGAGAAGTTAGCTTCCTTCTCATCTCCTTACCCACAGTAGGCAAGTGTATTCTACATTGCCTTTATCTATTCATCTCCTTACCCACAGTAGGGCTGGTTACACTACAGGCTGTGGACCATAGGGGAGGGTCATGGGGACCCAGGAGTCGTCCCCTGACAGGGGCATTTCAAGTTGATTTCAGACTGAGGTTACAAGTTACTAGGTACATTGTATATAAGGAGGGGTCTGGAATCAAAAGGAACAAGGGTAGGATGAAAGGAGACAAAGGGAGATGGAAAGAGGAACAACACCAAGGGTCAAGGGTTTGACTCAATGGTGTTTCTCAAAGGAGGAATGAAGGGCCAAGGCCCAAGGAGGAAGGAAGGAGGATGGGAGTGGGGAATGGCCAGCTGACTGAATAGAAAGGAAGCAGCAGCCCAAATAGGAATGAGGGAGTATAGCGGAATTGAATGGAGCAATGCAATAGTTGCAAGGTCCGACATAAGTCCGGAAAGTCCGAACTCGGAAGTTAAACTCCGGAATATTGGCAAACATAATTAAATGGAATGAGCTAACCAATACAATGGGTATAAGCAGAGGTGGGGTCAAAGTCCAAGGTCGGAGCTAAGACCGGAGGTTCCGGAGACAGAGACGCAACCGGGATTCCAGAGCGGAGGTCTGGAGTCGGGAGCATAGGTGTTGCGTGCTTGTCTGGGAGGTGTCGAGGTTGAGGTCAGACCTGGAATGTTCCAGAGTCAGACCGAAGGTGGTGTCGGAGCCGGAGGTGGGATAACCTCTTGGGAGTCAGCAAGGGGAAGGTGACGGAAGGGAGGTAGGGCTCCGGAGTCAGTTTCGGAGTTCCGGGAGCCCGGAGCAGAGGTCGGGATTGTATGGATATGACAAGTACAGAGTAAGTAATGTAACAACTAACTAAAAACAATGATACCAACCCCAGTCTCCGTTAATGAAGAACTGAGGAGAAAAGGAAAGTAGAGCGAAAACAGTATATACAATTATATACATTGTGTCACGAGGCGAATACGGATGTAAGAGAGATCATGTGGTGTTGGTTGGTAAGTCACGGGTCGTTGTTACTCCAACGGTACAGGCCTGTTTGAACCGTTCTGAACCGAACCGAACCGGGACCGAACCGAAATGCGGTTCGGTTCGGTTCAGATACTGGTTCGGTTCTGGTTCGACACTATTGTCAAAATGTGAACCGGTTCTGGTTCTGGTTCTCAAAAAATGGCCCAGAACCGAACCGAACCGAACCGAACCGTGGCACCCCTAACTGAGAGTGTTTTAATGTAACTTTGTACATTGAAGTGTGGATTGATTGCTTCTCCTTTTTTGCTCTCTCATTGGCTCAACCACGCACCCAGCGACATTCCGATTATATTCATTTGCCTCACATCCGTGGCGTATACCTATATTACGTTTTGAAATGATAATGTGGAACGCAATGCCATTCTCTCTCTGCTCAAATTTTTAACATACCACTATTGAGACCCAATAAGTAGTCCAATCTCGCGCAACACACGAGAGTGCAATGTCGAGGGACTTAGGGGTGCAAATTGATTCAGGCAACATGGGAGAGCAGCAAGGGAGTTAAGACAGAGGACACAGCCGAGGGCTCCTTTAACAATATAAGTCGTCGGTCATGGGATATTCCGATGTATAATAATATATACAATGCAGTTGCGCCAAGAACATCACTGGTCAAGGTCCCACATTTGATCACGTCGTCATGGGCGAGAATTCAATCATGGATTGAAGGAACTGAAGGGCGAGCCCAAAAGTGCAGCCGGGCTCCCTTGCCTTGTTGATACTACATTGAGTCACTGATACAGAAATCCAACTTGCAGAATAGGTTGAACAGAGGTGGTGGAACTGTCTTGGGGAATTCCCGAAACCGCAACACCCGCATTGTCTACCGCAATTTCAACCACCAGACCGATCCACAGACATACAAAGCATGGAAACAAGCGCGACGAAGGCTCAACAGGGTTTAAGGAGAGTTCAAGAGTCTAGACTGGGAAGTCCTAATGAGAGATCATAGCTGGTCTGCCACGATCATGCAGGGCACCTTTGAATTGAATGAGCGGAAACAAGCGCCACCATTGTCGTAATGTGTAGGTAATCGATGGAAAGGGCAGATCATTCCAAGTCGTGAAAGAAAGGAGTGGTTAAACAACGACGCATTTCTTTTTAGTCCTTTCGATAACAGGTTCTAAAGCCGCAACGATCGCCTGCGATGTACGCCATCAACGAGAATGTAGTTCAAAACAACGAGCGTACCTCATCAAAGACCTGTTGTAGACCTTTTTGTGTCAAGGCGGAGCACTTGACAACACCCAACTCTCTCGCCAAACGCTCACCCTGCTCCGGCTGGACGGGCCTCTGCTTCTTCCTCGCAAGCTTTTCTAGAACTTGAGAGTCGTCTCGCAGGTAGACTTGCGTGGGCAGTGGTGACGAACCTCAGGAAACCATTTTCCCTTTACGTTCTCAAAAGAAGCGAGTGATGTGACGCTAACGCAAACGAGAAAAACATCCGTCTGGGGATACGACAAGGGTCGAAAACAATCATAATCGATCTTCTTGACCTAAGCGGAAAAAACCACGGTTCCAGAGACAAAGTAGGCCACGAAATCGTAGGACATTACCTGCAGTATCGAATAAACCCAGAGTATAGGGATCGTCGCCGATCATAACGGTCACAGCGTAGTTGTCAAACACCTGGCAGACAAGATTAAAATGAGGCATTTCAACGCGTCGGTAGTGCGCTTACCGTAGGGAGAAATTCGCTTGGGAATTTGTTGGTGGTATACGAGATGAGGAGGCAGGTCTGATGAGATCTCATAAATGTTGGCCGCTTGCGGCTCAGCCTTGCGCCGTGCTTGGCAACCAGGTCAAAGCATACCTTTCCGACAGCACCATCACCAACGACAACATTTCATGGTCTGCATGGTGGTCTAGAATATGCCACCTAGCGTAGTAAAATACTTGCCATGAAAAGTTGGTTCCTTGACTCGCAATTTTGATTCGGTGAAACACCAGACTTCAAAAACCATTGAAATGATGGTAAATGGCAGACTCGTACCCAGTCTGAGGAGCTCCGTGGACGCGCAAAATAATAGCTTTTTTACGCAATGTAAATAAACGTTCTCACGCTAAATCGTTATTCTCACGTTCTGTACTCAATACAGAAATCACATGGAAAAGCTATTATTTTGCGCGTCCACGGAGCTCCTCAGACTGGGTACGAGTCTGGGTAAATGGTCAATTACCAGAGTAATTCTCGTCATTTAGCGAGAAATATTTCCCACAGTGCAACCTGATTGTTCAGATGCCTCGCTGCTGCCCCGGCCAGTATGGGCTCAGAGGGTGCATTAACCCGCGATGCCCAGGGATGGCAATAAACAACACGCATGTGTGACTCAACGAGTTCTGCAGAACTCATCAAGTCTCACATACACACATCCCAATGCGAGCCCCCAGAGCAGCAATGAGGGAGTGGCATACTTCCGCTTTGTTCCTTTCCACGATCAGTTTGTCTCTGGCGAACGATATAACAAGCAATCCATTCTCCTCCGACCGGTTTTTGACACCATCTATTACGAATTTAATTGTTGTTTAATGTCTTCATTTCACGAGACTAATCACGGGTTAGCAGTCTGCCCCCAGCTGACCTCAGGTTTCCGCCCTTGTTTGCCACTGGCTGGGAAACCTGACTGCGCCCAGTCGCGACCGCTTTGGCATTCACATGCCTTCTCTCACCGATCGCGGTTTTCTTATTGTTTAATGTTTCATTTCACGGGACTAATCACGGGGCTACGATCAGACCCAACCCAGCTCATGCTGAGGTTTCCTCCGCTCGATCATATCCTGCCGCTTCTGTCTTAGCACTGCCCACTCCCCTTTGCCGCTCCTACCACTCACGAGTTGCCGCGCAACCTGACTTCTCAATGAGCCTAGGTTTTGCCTCAGCCGTACGCTGGGTGTTCTGGCGCGGATGCGCGGAACAGACCACACCAGCAGAGGTACGTACTGAAACTCCCTCACCGCGAAAGTGCTCACAGTTAGTCCAGCCCACACTTATAAAGAGCGCCTGCACCTTCACTTTTCCCCTCTCTGTCACCTGAATTCGTGCCGCTCTCGGTGAGTTGGGCCGCTTACTGCTTTGTATCCAAACTCTCACTCGTGCATTATCGCTGCTGCCTCTGCTGCTGTCGCTCTCTTGACTCCCGGAATCGTCCATGCCTGCTCAGTAACTTGGCTGGCTTGTTGCGCCCAGTCGCGACCGCTTTGGCATTCACATGCCTTCTCTCACCGATCGCGGTTTTCCCATGATTTATCGCGCAACTTAGCCTGAACGGGTCAAATCACGCTGCCTCAGTCGTACGCTGAATGTTTTCGGCGCAGATGCGCGAAGCGGACCATTCAGTGGAGGTACGTACTGAATTTTCGCTATTGAGGAGAGGTCCATACTACCTTAGGTTTCATACTACCTAGGTCGTGCCTATAAAGGGGCCCTGACGGATCCCTTTTCCCCTCTCCCTATCGCCTGGTATCTCGCGCTCCCCTGGTGAGTGAGATCCAATTTGCCGCTTGCCTTTCCGGGCTCACGCTTCTGACCCGCTGCCGCTGCTGCCACCTGCATATTACTCTATCCCGGATTTGCTGCTGCCAATACCGCGATTCTCGACTACATTCCCATCTGCTCCAGCCCCTAGCTTATATTTTCTTGTCTCCCTCCTCCTCCCCGATACTCCTCCATCTCTTCTTGTCGAATTTTTTCACATCGTCTGTTACTCTTTCTCTTCATTGTAGTTCACTTTCTCTTCATTGTATTTCACCTCTGTACATTAGCTTCTGTTTGCTGTTTTAGTTGTTAGCGCTTTCAGTTGTGGCTGTCATCAGTTCTAGTAATTTTCCTGCTCTTCCTTTGTATGTACGAGAACGCGGGTCACGCGTCGCGCGCATGCGGCAAATTTCACATGGGCCCTTTGTGGCCGTTGCCCACTACCAGCAGTTGTTAGCCCTGATTAGTTGACTTTGTCGCAAATACAGTAGGCACGTATATATGTCCGAACCCTGCCATCACACTCGTTTGGCCCATGTTTTCAAGGCAGCAAATTTCCTTCTGGCATTGCAAAGATTCAAATACTTCGCTCCCCAAATACGTCAAACAGCAGCTCGGTGAAAGGAGGGAAAAGGCAGAGACCCTGAGCAATGCGAACTGATGAATGGCTGGTGGGCGAGGGAGCGAATTTCTGAAGATGAGAAATTGTAAATTAAAAAAGGAACCTGTCGGCTCCGTTTCGAGTGCGATGGAATGCTAAAACGCGCCGTACAACCGATACCAAGCGGTACGATTGCAGTCCCCTCATTAAACGCCAGGAATTTCCTTCATTGGACCCTTCCCGGCGGTATAAAATCGGACTTCCCCTCGTAACGCCTCCAATTCCCTTTGGAACGGAAGAATGATCCGCCTCCTAAGCGTGCCCATGAACTCTGCAACGTACTTCCACCCCTCCCCAGGATCCTGATCCGTTCTGTGATCTAGCCCCTCCCAACTGAAATGTTGTTCGAAACTGACTTCTGGTGCCATGATCGTCGGCGCATGTCGAGCGTCCTGGAACACAGTGCACAGATACATTGCCACCTCGCAGCAATTCTGGACTGGGGAGGGTGCGAAGCATAGTGTAGAAAGTGGGTGATTCGAAGGAAGAGGAGGGTCGTCGAAGGAGAATCGAATATCCGAGACGTCCGTATTGACGTACAACGAAGCGCGCCCGAGACGGGGGCATACGCCTGCGATTGCCCGTATGACTTCCAGCGTTAGACTTGGAGGATCATGGACCTGCACCGGGATTAAACCTAAATCTTCAAGGTTGGGCATCTTAGAGCCTAGATCTACCAAATCAGCATTGTTAATCGTCTCAACGCCGTTGGTGCAGACCGTCAAATGAGTGAGATTAGGTAATAGAGGCAGTTTCAGCACAGGGAGGCTAAAATTAGGGGCCACGAGGAGTAATTCATGTAAGCCTTTACATATTGTGACGATTCGGGTTAGCGACTGCTCTGTTAGCGGATCGTCCTTTTTGTCTGTCAGTAGCAGTCCGAGGAAACGTACGCCATCCAAGGGATAATACCCTAAGACGATTACTGATAACTGAGACGGGACTGCCATCGCGATAGTGTGAAGAGATGGGAATGGAGTATCTAATGTGGGGGGTTCGAAACTATACCAGGCCGAGGGATCGGGTGGGTCGGCGTCCAATTCCTCAAGGGATGATGAGCGGACTTCCTTCAAGTTCGGGAACTGGGCAATGCAAGTCCATACGGTTGGGGTAAAAAGAATTTCCCAGTTTGCAGTCAAGCATACAAGGTTAACCAGCGGCTTCAATGCATTCACAAAGCACTCGATGACGGCTTCACTGAATTCTGAAGTTTGGTCGAGGTGCAGACTGAGGGATGTCAAGAAGGCGCCGTGATGAGAGAGTGATCGAATGGCTAGAAGACAGGCAGCTTCTGTACAATCAAGGAGAGAGAGCGAGATCTTGGAAAGGCGTATACCAAGCCAAAAGCTGGCCCTCCAGATTGCCTCTGGTCCATCGAGGAGGCAATCCAAAGAAACGAGATGCGGGAAAAGATGTGGATGCAGAAACTGTGCCATGTGGGCAAACTCGCCGATTAGCCGGGGATGAATGTGACTATCATCAGTGTATCCACTATGAACGGTGATAGATTGAACAAATCGTGCGTAAAATTGGAGCCTTGGTAATGCCTCAAAATCTATCTACACGAGAAAGTCGTAGATAGCGTCCCATGGAAATAGTACCACGAAACACTCACATCGAACACCCTTTTGGTATTTTCCCAATCATCAAACCCTAGCAGCCAAAGGAGAGGCAATGGAGTTTCAAGCACTCGCCACAAACGTTGCAGAGCCAGGATCTGCCACGATTTGCAAGTTCGCGCCGCTGACGCCAGTGTTTCGTTAGAACAGCCATCAAACAAAATAGTTAAGATGTCCAAGAGTCGTAATGCTCGATGCATCACTGTCGTTTGGCCCTCCTTGTCGCTGTGCTGAAAGGACCGTACTTGCTCCTCAAGGACGAATAGCTGTACTAAGTGATGGCAACATTTATGTAATGAGCTCGACTCAAAACTTGCTCAGCGCTTGTCTCGGGCCACACATAATGCCGATCCACGGAATATGTTGTTGTTTGATGTCCCCATTTCACGAGACTAATCACGAGTTAGCAGTCTGCCCCCAGCTGACCTCAGGTTTCCCTCTGTTCGCCACTGGCCGGGAAACCTGGCTGCGCCCGCTTTGGCATTCACATGCCTGATCACGGATTTCTCGTGACTAATCAGACGGTGTAAGCGCTTTTCACCTTGGACAACCACTATGTGGGCCTTTATAGGGGGGACCTCAGGACGTTTGCATGGGGCCTAAAAGGCCTTTTTCACTATAAACGTCCTAGGACATCCTGGCCATTCAGTTTCATTCATTTGTTGCAAACGTCCTCAGATGTCCTAATTCAGTTTGATTCAATGGTTGCAAATTGTCCCGGAATGCCATACTCGTCCATCCCATGGTCTGTGCACATGCTGACCACTGTCTAGAGGGATGTCAACACTGTTTCCCACGGTCTGAACACACTTTACATAGTTGAATAGCCCCTTTGAATAGCTTCCAGAATATATATTTTGAGACTGAATTGACCAATAAATTATTGAGAAAAACGCAAAATACTTTTTTGGACACGAGTCTTTTGATGGTGGCTGTCCAACTTATTTAATGTCTGTGCACAATGCTGGTCACTGTCTGAAGGGGTGTCAGCACTGTTTCCCACGGCCCCAACACACTTTACGCAGATGGATAGCCCCTTTGAATAGCTTCCATAATATATATTTTGAGACTGAATTGACCAATAAATCATCGAGAAAAACGCAAAATACTTTTTTGGACGCGAGTCTTTTGGGTTAGTGTGGCTGTCCACCTCATGTCTGTGCACAGTGCTGGTCATTGTCCGGAGGGGTGTCCAGACTGTTTCCCACGGTGTCAACACACTTTGCGTAGTTGGATAGCCCCTTCAAATAGCTTCCAGAATATATAATTTGAGACTAAATTGACAAGCAAGTTATTGAGAAAAATGCAAAATACTTTTTTGGACATGAGTCTTTGGGATATCAGTGACCTGGGAATTTTGCAGACTCGTACCCAGTCGTTTTCACTCCGTGGATGCGCGCAGCACACTGCAATGTGGAAATGTAACTAAGTAACTTTTGTATTCAATGTAAAGTCACGTTCTGCTTTCAATACAAAGAGTCACATGCTACGGGGATAAACTCAAGTCCGATCACCTACTCCGAAAATTTGCATGTGACACTTCGCTCTAACGACTGGTACACATTGGCAGTGGCAGTACACTTAGGCATTTGCCGAATTTGCCACCCGATCCCTCTTGAGCCCACTTAGCCTCGATGTAGGGAATGGATGTGTGGTGATGCGTGCTGTGCACGCTTTCTTTATTCATTGTTTATTACTCTTTATTTCTCGATGTAAACAATGTATATAAATTGCGGGGAAGGGTGAAACAGGTTTTCACTCTTCTCCTCCCCTGTCGAAATTACAGCTCTATACTGCCTAATTCCTGACAGCTTGAGGATAGCAGGAGTCAACACCAAGGTCGGAACCTCAACCGACCTTACACTCGATCTTCATGACTAGCACCCTAAACAGCACTGAAAAGGTCTTGAGTTTCATGAGTAGGGAGGGAATCTCACTCTCTACTTTGCTTATCACAATTTGTGCCTCAACACACTACAGCGACTACCGACGGAACCTTGAGAATGATCTAGGACAACATCCCGATCTCAAGGAATGGATTCTAGATATTGTACAGTCGATGTATGAGAAAGAAATGCAAGACCTTTCAGATAAGGCTGCTGGGCTTCATATGAGCATCTCTAGGATGCGAGCAGAACAGCTTGAGGCCAGCTGGATCAGCACGCTGAAGGTTACTTTCCAACAGAAGGCACCGATCTTATGGAAAGCCATACATCAGCTACTAAACACCGATGGAAAACAGCGCAGATGGAGAAAATATGGAATTACCAGGGATGCCATGGTGACAACTGAAGTAGGGGGAGAACTTGAGGAGCAATTTGGGGACAATGACCACAAGCGCCGCAATACCGCGGTAAGAAATAGTCATTTATTCGATGTGGTGAGTACTATAGCAATTTCCCTAAGGCCAAGGACTTACCCTTAACAGAAGACCACTGTCATCCTTTCCATCTTGATCCACAGCTCCAATGACAAATGTAATGCGTTACAGACCAAGCATGCATTTTACCTTGCAGCATCCAACGCATCCAGGTCTGTCCGACAGTGGGCTGCACACATTGGGATTGCTGTTTCGCCCACTTCCATCGAGAACTTACGCGAGTCACTTATCAACAACCAGAAACAAACCAATAAGACCCTTGGGGCAACAAGGGTGGTCAATATTGCATACGACAACTGTGACTTCAAGTTCGGTGTGGGGCAGCCGACTGATCTCAATGAGAAGATGTTTGAAAGTATCACTACCGGACTGTTCCTCAACATGCACAATGGCGTACTACCCATAGATCTTGAGTATGCAAAATACTTGTGGGAGCGGAGCCCTAACAATGAACTAGGAATTAATCCATTCCAAGGTACGACATATGAGGATATTTTCCCCAAAATGTCTGCAGGCCAGCAACTGAAGGAACATTGCAATGGCATATCGTGTCGACATTCATTGAGGAATACCTGCCTGAACTACGATCAGGACTTGGGGAACCACCATATGAGTTCCAGCTTCACCCCGAAAAAACATCATACACAACTGCCGAAGCGATGTATGCTAAAGCCTCAACAATAGATGGCAACATTGAAGCCATCACATCCCTGCTGGAACAGAGTGGGATAATCAAGGACACGATTTTTGAGAACTACGTTGTTCTTGTGCATGGAGATCTTGGTGTTATAGAGAAGATCGAGACTGTAATGCGCTCAAGGAGAATCGAGGAGGGTTGGTATGAGCAGCTAGGCTTTCTCTTGCCAATACCTGGACTGTTTTACATATGAGTGGCGTGTGTTGATGTGATTAACCGGATCCATGGTTCAACACCGGGAATGCATAATGACCCAAATGAGCTTTACAAATATTATGACCCTTTTTCCAAATAACACTGCCAAGCTGAATCAGAAAGTCCCCCCCTTCCACATGATGAACGATGGGATCGACTATATTCTCCATGTTGCAATACTCAATGCATGGAAGGAAGACGTGGGTGGGGACATTGCGGGATTCCTCAAGTCCAACCCAACCCTGGACGATATCAAACATCATGCTCAGAGCATTGCCTCCAAACAGTTTCAGGCCAGCCACTTACGTGAACGTCATCATCATGATATGGAACAAGACCAAGTACAAAATAACCAAGTATTATTTAACTGTGATGCAATGTATTACTGCATCCTCGTTCATGCAATCAACTATGGCATGGTTGATATCATTCTTGATGTCCTTGCCGTGTGGATTCCAATCCTGTTGAGCTGTGGGAAGCATAAGTACGCTTTGTACCTTGCAAAATTCCTTGCTAGAGTGAAGCAGTATCCTGAGGCGTTGCGAGCAGCCGTCCTAAAATGCTGGTTGTGTAATCCATCCAGAAGGAAGGGTGGGTTCTGACTGATAGATTGGCTGGTGGAATTAATGAATTTATATACTGTCAGGGCACACCTGCTTGACCCACCTCCACCCGGACCCACCTCACCCGGTACCCCTTCTCCCACCCTGCACCCTTCCTTCATATCCCTTCCCCCTCTATCCCTCTCCCACTTCTATTTCTATTCCTATTTCTATTTCTATTTCACACGGATGACCTTTCCCTTATATCTATGTATTATTGACCCGCCTGCAACGCACACACGACATGCCTAGCCCCGGACGACCCTGGATGGCTCTAGGGTGCAACCTAGTGTGCACGCGTGCAGCATATGCCCTCGGGATCCCCCATGGGGACACCCAGGTGACCGCGGCTGTATGCGGGGTGACGTGGCGGACCTCATGTGACCCAAGCCGCATGTATATAAACACACCTGGGGTGGGAACTGAAGAAGTAACCTTCTTCTCAACATTCCCACTTCAGTCTAAGTGGCCAGGGATCGCTGTCCCGCATCGGGCCTGCCAGTACGCATGCCCGATCTACCCCCCACTCGGTCCTCAGCACCGGACGCTACGCCCGGACCACCTCAACCCTGGACACGTCCCTGACATTTACGCTTGTGAGACTCTGCAGCCTTCTGGGCCCTTTCATCCTGTCGTTGACGGTTCTTCTCGAAATAACTTTTTGGGGCAAGGAGAATGACGATTGCATGGATGTCTGGATTCCTTGCTGCATGACCGAACCGTTGAGTCAGGGTATTTAGATTATCGGGTGGGCAGTATTGAACTAATCGTGTGACATTGTGCAGATCGTGGCCCTACGGGGATGGCATTAGAATTTGTACAATGCATTAAACCCTGAGGTCAAACCAATCCAAGTGATTCCGTGCTGGTGATGCCGATAAGCTTCCCATCCCTAAAGTCCTCCACCACTTTCAGCTTGTGCTTATCAGACATTCCAGAATGGATCCAAATGATTTTGTGGCAGAGCGCTTTACAGACTCGTGATCGTAGGAATTCTGCACTGCGTTCGGCCTCATCACAAGAATTACAGTATACGACAAACGATTCTGGCATCGGGTGTGACTCTTCCAGGTGAAGCGGAATGAGGAAAGCAAGGTCATAGTAAGAACTCTTACTATACTCCATTTCCCACACACAATAATGGAGATTTGGCCATTCATTAGATCGACGCAGCCATGTGGTCCCATTGCCACCACTTGGGCTTATCCATGGAGCCATGCCAACCTGCCCAAGTACTTGAGAACATGTCTTGGCATTCAACGTTGCGGATGTCAGGTACCACTGGCATCGGTGACAGAGGTATGCATAGAGCCATGTTAGCTCTTTGTATGCTGCTTGGAAAGATGACCACTGGGCCACAGAGTGTGCCTCATCCACAATAATGCGATTTATATTACTAACAAAAATTTTGTTCCTCCACAGCGGCTTCAAGATTGCCCCTCAAAGCAAGTCAGGCCCAAGAAAAACGAAATTATATGCCAAGCTTTCAATCTCCTATTTGGCGAAATGAGTTATGATCAAAAAAGTATGTGTCTTCACTGTTACATACCTTGACAACTTCCTTATTAATTGTCTTTGCTTCAAGCGATATGGCAGTCAATCCCAATTGTTGTGCACTATCTCTGTGCTGGTCACCAAGTTTTTTTAGAGGCACAATTCCAAAAGTGATGCTGCCTTTTTCTTCTTCGAACAAGGAGGGGAGGAAGAAAATATATGTTTTTCCACTTCCTGTAGCGGCAGTAGAAACCAAGTCCTTTTTAGGCTTCCGAAGCAAAAAATGCACAATTTCAGCCTGGAAGCGGCATGCTCGCTTCTTCCATTCCTGCTCACTCTTAGCTATGATGAAATCAACTGGGGGTGGCGAGACTGAGTGTGTGTGCCTCTCTGAGGAAGGCATGAGGAGATCTGAGAGTGCGAGCTTGGAAGGCAATGTAAGTGGGCTCAAGAGGGATCAGGCAGCAAATTCGGCAAATGCCTAAGTGTACTGCCACTGCCAATGTGTACCAGTCGTTAGAGCGAAGTGTCATGCGCAAATTTTCGGAGTAGGTGATCGGACTTGAGTTTATCCCTGTAGCATGTGACTCTTTGTATTGAAAGCAGAACGTGACTTTACATTGAATACAAAAGTTACTTAGTTACATTTCCACATTGCAGTGTGCTGTGCATGTCCACGGAGCGAAAACGACTGGGTACAAGTCTGGGAATTTCGATGACTTCGATGGACTGTCAGTGAAATTTAGTCTATCCCAAAGACTCGCATCCAAAAAAGTATTTTGCATTTTTCTCAATAACTTGCTTGTCAATTTAGTCTCAAATTATATATTCTGGAAGCTATTTGAAGGGGCTATCCAACTACGCAAAGTGTGTTGACACCGTGGGAAACAGTCTGGACACCCCTCCGGACAATGACCAGCACTGTGCACAGACATGAGGTGGACAGCCACACTAACCCAAAAGACTCGCATCCAAAAAAGTATTTTGCGTTTTTCTCGATGATTTATTGGTCAATTCAGTCTCAAAATCTATATTCTGGAAGCTATTCAAAGGGGCTATCCATCTGCGTAAAGTGTGTTGGGGCCATGGGAAACAGTGTTGACACCCCTTCAGACAGTGGTGTCAGAGACCAGGTCGAGACGAAGGAGTGTCTCCGTGATGGAGGGCTTCGGCCTCAGCGACTTATGCCAGGAGCGCTGTGCCAAGTAAACATGTCCATGCCCTAACTTACTAACTGGCCACCAGAACTGAAGAGGGTAAACTCTAGTCGATTTTATTACTGGAGTGTAACCTATGTACAAGTTAAGTATATATAGTTACAGCAAGGGTGGGTCCGCAAATGGCGGAGCCGAGCCGAGCGGAGCTAACGGGGTTAGACATTAGCTGATTGAATATTACCGACGAGTTGGGTTACAGGGTTAACGGAAAGGCAGGCAATAACCCAGAAACGGAAAGGAGGGATAGGCCCGAAGGTGGGCTTGCAGGGCAAGCAAGTGTATTGTCCAGCGGAGGCGGGAGTGTGCTAGCGGACATCGGAGCTGTCTGGAAGCCTTCAGGGCTCCGTACTTAGGGAGGCATAGGTAATAAATTGAAAGGAGGGGGTGGTGACCATCGAGGGGTACTGAGGGGGTTGCAGAATACAGGAGCTCCAAGGTTAGTGGAGAAGGAGCGGAAGTAGACTGGAGGGATTGGAGGGATTGGAAGTCGATGGCTGGGGATGGATATGACAAGTGGCCAGCATTGTGCACAGACAGTTGAGCAGCCTGAGGATTGTTATGGGAAATCAGATTCAATTGCAGCATTATGTTTTGAATGTCTACCCTGAATAATACAAATTTGATTGAATCACAGAAGCATTTGATTGAATTTGATTGAATTATAGAATCATCCCAGGACATCCCAGGACATCTTAGGATATCCTGGGGATGTCCTTAGGCAGGACTCCAGCCTCTATGACTTTGTAATATTATATAGAGGCTGGAATCAAACCCCGGTTCATGAATGCGGATTTTTACTGAATGGTTGTCATGTTGGAAAAGGGTCTTCACTGTTGCTAAGACTTATATAATCAATGCAATTGGAAGGAGGATCCAGTCTGAATTGCTATCTGGCAACATGTGATGTTCCCACACCAAGTTCAAGGGAGTTCAAAGGGAGTTACATAGTCACGGAGTGGATGTTTTAGTGTTGACCCATGCGGTTGTTACCCAACCCAACCCATGGGAGCATAGTCAAGGCTGTGAAGTTGAAAACACCCGGGCATGCGGGAAATCCACACTTTATCTATTACTCCGGACCTTAAACAGTTGGTCAGCTGCGGCATAAGCGGTACAGCTTGTGTTTGTCATATCCATCCATGGCCACCACCCTCGACCACCTCTGCTCCTCCAGATTACCTCCGCTCCTCTGCCACTAACCTCGGAGCCTCCGGTTTCCGTGATCACCTCCGACCCCCCTGATGGTCACCACCCCTCCAATTCAATATATTACCTATGCCTCCCTAAGTACAGAGCCCTGAAGTTCTCTGGACAGCTCCGACATCTGCTAGCACATTCCTGCCTCCGCTGGGCAATTCACTTGCTTGCCCTGCAAGTCTACCTTTGGGCCCATCCCTCCTTTCCACTTGTGGGTCTTAACCTGTCATTCCATTAAACCTGCAACCTGACTCATCGGTAATATTCAGTCAGCTAACATCTATCCCCGTTAGCTCCGCTCTGCTTGGTCCCACTATTCACGGACCTGCCCTCGCTGTAACTATATATACTTAACTTGTACATGGGTTACACTTCAGTGATAAAATCGACTAGAGTTGTGTAAGGGGTTGGTGCAGGTGCCAACCCTGGTTAGCCTAGTTCCTCAGGCTGCCAACAAAAGTAACTTGTATGAAGTTATTATTTGCAACAGTATGGGAGGAAAAGGCTAAGTTGCTCTTTCCACTTTCCCACACTATTGTATGTACTTTGTATATACATGTTTATTACAAGACAATTATACAATTATGTAATGGGAAATGAGGGGTAGGTTATGACTCCTTACAAGTTGATCCCCCTTTAGTTCTTGTTGCCAGTAAGTAAATTAGGGCACAGACATGTAACTTGGCACAGTGCTCCTGGCCTGAGTCACTGAGGCTGAAGCCCTCTGCCATGGAGACGACTCCTTTGTCTTGCTCCGGTCTCTAACAGTGTTAAGACTATGCAGCCTGGGTTGTGGGTTTGATTCTCATTAATCCAAGCTTTTTTTGCATCCTCCCATGCAATAATTGGAGACATTATAACTTGTTGTGCATGAGAAATGAGAAAAAAAAACTTCCACAAGTGAGAATCGAACACACACGACGTAAAAGGTTACACAACCCAAATGCACATGCTGCGCCACTTATGCCACCACACCCCAACTTTGTTTCATGTCCAGAGTAATATATAAAGTGTTAATTTTCTGTGTGCATGGGTATTTGACCTTTGACTACTGTACTCCACCAACCAACAACTGGTCACACATCATGCAGGCCTGCTGGTCCGGCCCAAAACACAGCCACATCATGCATCACACTGGGCAGGCAGTCAAGCAATCCATGTCATGCAGTTGGGCTGCCTTCTCAGTGGCTATGCAAATTGATTTCAAATTTCCTTTTTTGTAAATTAAATACATTCAAAAATGAAATTTCTTCATTTCTTCATCCAAATTGCGTGCCCATCTAGCTCGCATTCCCCAGCCAAGATCCTGGCTCTGAAGGCTAAAGGAAGGCAGAGCCTCATCAAGAGTATCAGGCTCGGCTTCAGCAAACCCATCCATGGATGATGACCGGGAGTAAGAATTTTTTTACAAGGGAGTACAGCAAACATGTTTTCAAATTTCCCATCCACTGCTTTCCTTTTGAAATAAAATACATTTGGCTAACTCCGGTAAATAGAGTAGAGGCCTGGCCGGTTGGGTGTCATGCATCAAAATGAGCCAGCGGTCCGTCACACATGCATCATGTGCAGGACCCTGGTGGTTGTTGGTCAGTGGAGTACAGTATCCCAAAACCCCTATGGGTTGGGTTGGGTAATGACTGCATGGGTTGACACTAAAACATCCCCATTCCGTGACAGCAAATTTAATGTGGGAAGACTCGAAAACCTGCATCAGAGCAACACAACCCGATATCTTCCGACACGTGACCTTTTGTATTGATTCACAAATTGGGAAGTGGATACAAGGACCCTTTATGAAGCCTTAGCAACAATTCAAACAAAATCCACATTCAGAACCACACTGATGAGTCCCAGACTAGGATGTCCTGGTGAATGGATCAGGCCTTTTCTTTCTTCACCAGGATGTCCAGGACATCCACTAGTAAATACCCCCTTTTAGGCCCATTTGAAGGCCAAACGGCCCCCCCTCTATAGGCTGTCATTAGATGGCTGACTAGGCTGAAGATATTCAGGAAGGATCCGAAGGATACTGGTGGCTCCAATTGTGGCTAGATGGTCAAATTTGATGTCACCCCAGATCTTCTCATAAGTGATCTGTTCCCTTCAGACTGAGGCTCGCCGTTGTTCATATTCAATCCCGTCAAAGGCCCCCTCTGCCACCTCATGCTGGATAATGAGCGTCGCAGCGGTCCCACTTTCTAGTGATGTGCAACTGTCGAGTGATGGGTGCCATAAATGACAGTACTGATTGAGATTGTCATAGACCAGATGCACTGAAACTTTGTTTTCCACCAGTTGGCGCCCTAGTGCTTTTAGATTTGCCGATGCACCCTCAGCTGCCATGTGAAGTCGATTGTGAGTCGTACTGTGTGCAACAATGAGACCAATTCGACTCAAAATTGAAATTGTTGTTTGGTTGGTGTTCATCGCAAACATCAACATGCTGAGAATCGATTGAATGTGATTGATTCGCTGATTCCCAAAGCTCAACATCATACATAGTGCAATGGTACAACCCTAGGAAAATAACAAATGTGCGTGGATCCATTATTTTATTTTGTCATCATGAAATCAAACTCACAAGGTATGGATCTCGGACATGATTTGAACCTTTCCCATCTCTCTTCCCACTTGCTGCATGTCCCTTGAGTGACATCGCCCTCTCATTGCCAACAGCAATTGTTGTTAATATCATCCAAATGACTGGCACTCTTGTCATCATCACCCACTGTGTCTCCTCCACAGAGAACTCGTTTATGGTCTCCCATGAGAAGCCTTGCTTCTCATTGTCCAGGTTGCATAATGACGGCTCCCTTTGTAGCTGTCCAGTCTCCCACTGAACACACTCGATGTCATATCCGTGCATACCCGACCCGCCCTGACTTCCGGACCTCCTCCTTCCCCACCTCCGGAATCCTACCCTACCGCTGTCCGTTCCGATATTCACCTTCGGTGTTATGGATACGGAGTCTCCAACGACCATATCCGT